CGATCGAGCTCTCAGTGGGCGTGGTTTTCCCAGGCTTTTAGAACAGCAGCTGCTATTTACCTTCCCTCTAATGTAAACCACCACCGCCACCCCTAGCCCGCCAGCCAAACCTCAACCACCGAGGTAATAAAACATCCTGGCACGTGCTCCACATTCACAATAGCGCTCGTGAGCCGACAGATGTCAAAATGCCAACAGCAGCGACGCTCTTAAAGAAATACAGCGCAGTCTTGTCAAATGAATTTGTCCACAGAAAAAAAAAAATAATTAAAAAAAAAAAATAATAATAACAGTAAAATTGAAAGTCTATAATTAATCGCTACCTTATTATTTTTTATTTTTTTAAAGTAAAATCAAAGTGGTGGGTTGCAAACCTTCCAGCCACTTTAAATCGAATGACATTATTTATTGTTAAAAGTTAAATGGACTTTCTTTAGTGTAACTTTGCAGAGAAAATAAGTTAAACAGATATTCCTCCTCTTTTTTTCCAGAATTATAAAATTCATACCCACTTTTTAATGACTTATCAGGTGGGATATTTTAACACTCTACATACTGCAGTCTTTGCAACAGTTCAATTTATTTAGTAGCCTAGCCTAAAAGGCAAACTCTGCTGCATTTTATTTGACATGTTTTTTAATGGTAAAGCCTAGTACTCAACTTTTTCCACGTTTTTTGTATATATTTTTTGTGTGATTACATGGTTTCAGTGTGGATCTATGTGTATTGAATTGCAATTACAAAGTTGCTGTTTCTTTGCGGAGACTGGCTCGTAAGTGTTAATATGTAAACTTAATGATTGAAGGCAGTCCCGGTTGTGCCCTAAACCCGGCCGCGCGCCATTGGCCACCCGCTCAAACGCTAAACAACCAATGGAGTGGCGCCGACCACGAGCCATCCTCCCCTCGGGCCGCGTGTCCCGCGCGCTGATTGGTAGAAAGTTACTGTGGGAAAGAAAGTTTGGGAAGTTTCACACGAGCCGTTCGCGTGCAGTCGGAGATATAAATAAGACCAACACGACGCTGAGGCAGGCAGTTGCTACGACCGCTGGCAAACGGTGTAATCAGAGACTGTGACATCATTGCCGCACCAGTTGAACTCGGGACACTTCGTGCGGATATCCATTCATATCTGGAACTGTATCTGCGTACTTTACTGCGTGTACTCTAACAGAAGACACTGAACCGGGAGGATTTCTTTAAAAAACAAATCTCATAGGATACTTCCCAGAGAAGATGCCTGCCGACATCATGGAAAAAAACTCCTCTTCTCCGGTTGCCGCGACTCCAGCGAGCATGAACAGTACACCTGATAAACCCAAAACGGCTTCGGAACATAGAAAGGTTTGTATTGATATTACACTGTGCTGCATTTATTTCCAAACATCGCACGTGTGCGCATATTACACTGCAAGAAATAGTTCCCGAAGTTAACAGACATGTTGACTTATTTTTTGTTCTTTCTTTTGCATTTTAGTCTTCTAAACCTATAATGGAGAAAAGAAGAAGAGCGAGAATCAACGAAAGCTTGGGTCAGCTGAAAACGTTAATCTTAGACGCCTTGAAAAAAGATGTAAGTATTGAAAGTCCGATTGATGCATATCTGGGTTAAACATAATGCATCTCTTTGCATAGCCGCATATCTAAACCAATATCTCTATTTTTTTACGCAGAGCTCGAGACACTCCAAACTTGAGAAAGCGGACATTCTGGAGATGACAGTGAAACATCTCAGAAACATGCAGCGGGCACAAATGACCGGTAAGTCGCGGATCTAATGATTATTAGTAAAAAAAAAAAAAAATAGTTTTTGAGAACTTCCAGACACTCGGCTGCAGTTTTTTTACGCAGCGTTTCTCTCTGTTGTCTACACTTGTTTTAAATGTTGCAAGATTAGTTTTCTAGATAGAATATAACTATAGAACAAATTCATGTTCAGCTACTCATGATGATCTGACCGTAAGTCTTTCCTCATTTACTTTACAGCTGCGCTGAACACGGATCCCACGGTTCTTGGGAAATACAGAGCTGGATTCAGTGAGTGCATGAACGAGGTGACCCGGTTCCTGTCCACCTGTGAAGGGGTTAACACCGAGGTCAGGACCCGGCTGCTGGGTCACCTAGCCAGCTGCATGACGCAGATCAACGCAATGAATTACCCAACACAGCACCAGATACCTGCCGGGCCTCCTCATCCATCCTTCAGCCAACCGATGGTTCAAATCCCCAGCGCGACTCAACAAGCCAACGTTGTGCCTCTTAGCGGAGTCCCCTGCAAAAGCGCGCCTACCTCCAATTTGACTTCTGACGCAACAAAAGTTTACGGAGGTTTCCAACTTGTGCCGGCAACGGACGGACAGTTCGCCTTTTTGATTCCCAACGCTGCCTTTGCTCCAAACGGCCCCGTTATTCCAGTGTATGCCAACAATTCCAGCACACCGGTTCCGGTGGCCGTGTCTCCGGGAGCACCGTCAGTCACGGCAGATTCCGTTTGGAGGCCTTGGTAGACAGAGTGGGGGGAAAAGACTTTTAAAGACTCTTAAAGACAAATTACACTTGTTTTCTTTGTTCAGCGTTTACTTTTCATGTTCTTCTTTTTTTGTATGAAAATGCGTTTTAATGAGATGATGCACTATATTTGTATAGATCAAAAGGGAGAGAAGTTCATATTGAAATAAGTTTTGTATTGTTGAATTCCGTTCAATGCATTTTTATATTTGCGGTATCTTTTCCACGTTGTGATGCCAAAGATATGTTGAATGCGCTTTCAAGTTTCTTCATTTTGGAAGATAAATAAATTACATTTAAAAAATGAAACGTTTTGGCTCATTAGTTTTATTTTGTTTTCGGTTTGTTACCCATGCTTATTCTTACTTTAAGCAAAGATTCGGACACTATTGCATGCAAATTAAAGCTAAACATGCTTTAGTCTTTAAAGAAGCGTGTTTGCTACTCTTAATCATTTTCAAGCACAAACAGGAAAACTTAGCCTGTGTCAAATCACGCCGGCGCACAAGACATTAAACGGCCCCCAGTGTAGTATTTACATTGCGATCAGTGGGTTGCCCTCTTAAAAGTTATTTTAATAATTATTTTTTCCTGTTAAACATCGCAATCAACTGATAAAACCACATCTGCCACTTACATAGCCTAGATAATCTATGAAAAAGGTTATTGATTGATATAGAAACACCCGTTTTTTTATACATAAACTAAATATAAGTTATTTTTTAATAAAAAAAACTGCTTTTCTCTTATCACTAGAGAAATATAAAACTTGAAGTTTAATTAAATGAAGATTCTCTAGATGTTATATCGAACACGTGATGGTAGGCTATTTGAATAAGGTTGAATTAATGGCATCTAGCCTGGGGATTTTATCACAATAAATATGAACATTAGGTATTGAACGATTCATGTATGTATAAGAGTGTGACATGCAGACAGCCATCAAGAGGATTACTAGAGTCTGAAGCTGAATGTAGCATCAAAGTTCAGTAGCAGAGAGAAGAACGAGTGGCCGTTTTTATTACACAACCATTTAGCGCCATCTAGTAATTCAAATGTGAACTACAGTGAGTGAACGAGCGGATGGATCAACAACACTTTCAGTTTGAAAGAATTTAAGAATTTACCTAGCCACGTTAGTAGCATAATGCCATGTTAACAGACATTTGTATTTATTTATTTATTTATAAGTATTTGCAAAAAAATAAATAAAAAAAATATATGATTAAAAAAACAATTAACTCAATACATACTCTAAACAATGCTGGGTTGTTTTAACCCAACAAATTGGGTAAAATATGGACAAACCCAAATGTAGGGTTAAAAATGTAATTTAAAATTTTAACCCAACTTCAACTTTCACTTTCAACTGTACATTTGTAAACCCAACATTTGGGTTTGTCCATATTTGACCCAAATTTGGGTTGAAATAACCCAGCATTTTTTAGAGTGCAAAGTGCTTTTTATTACATATGCTTTCATCTCTGAGTGGCCATAAAGGATGCAGAAATATTTACACACAACTCATATAGCTTTTGTTTCGAGTAAAATGGGAAAAGTCTTGACATGATGAAACGTTTCCTTCTTGCATCCCTGTGTTTTCCAGGTGTGTGTTGCCTATAGCTATTTCAGTGTGGCCATTCTTTGAAGGGGGCATGGCAGGTGTTTGCAATTACCTGCTTTGAGGCACAAAGTGTAGATAAGTGCAATCATTTTGAATTTCCATCACACCTTTTGTGGTGCCGAGAGTATAGAGATTGGAACCACATGTTGCCTGCAAGGACATGCTCATCTCGCATATGGGTCAGCCTGCTTTGCCCACCTTAACTTTGAGCACAACACCACCTCAACAGATGCCCAATGATGTGGCGGACCATGCATTCATTTCCTGTTTATTCCAAGGCGAGCAGTGCAACCCCCCAAAAAAAAAAACCCCGCCGACCCCCTTCAGGCGTGCTTCCCCCCGCACGCCTTGCTGCAACCTGCCTCTGGAGGACAGCTTTACGAGGGTCTCAGGTTACTGGCGCACTGACCACTGTGCCGGGGCACCCGTGCACATGTCACAACATGACCGGAGGGTTAGCCGGCATGTATGTCAATTAACTTTTCCCACACTCTCTGCAAATGCAAGAGGCTTGAGAGGAGAAAGGAGGAGGGGGGAAAGGGAGAAAAATAAAAAGGACTAAACGAAAGCCCCCTCTCTGCTTCCTCCTTGGCTTTAAGTGTTACCATATGGCACAAACTCTCTCTCTCTTGCTCTCTTTCTTTGCCTCATTCTCTCTCTCTCGTTCTTTCTCTCTCTTAACTCGTCATCATTACCACCTTGTCTTTGATTGTAGCCCTGACAAGCCTGGGATTTATGATTTAAGCACAGGGATTGCTGTACCAAGCTCTGGACTCACTATGCAGCCCTCTTTCTCTCATTCGCACTCCTTTTCCCTCTCTCGCCCTCTCCTGCAGTTGCAGGGGAAAGGCTGTTTTCTGGCAGGAAATGAATAGCTCCCAGATGAGCTGAGGAACCTGAGAGGTCGTGAGAAAGAGGCGAACCCCCTTCCCACAGCCGGCGCACTGCCAGCCGCCGGGGGAATGTGGGAGAGCGTCTCTCTGACACACGCATCAACTCTCCCGCTGCTTGCCCAAACACCCCACCGCATGCCTGCCAGCAAGCGCTGACGCACAGGGCCCATCTGAGGGGGGTAGAGTGGAGCTGATTGGGGCAGTATGTGGGAAGCTCGACAGCAGAGGCGTACGTGAGGACGAGGACAGGGGACAGGAAGGAGGATGGAATGATGGAAGCCACAGTTACAGAAGTGGTGTTTGTAGAGGGTGAGATCATTCAAAGAGAAGCAGGAGTTGTTCGATAGTCAGTTAGCTGCAAATACAGAAAATCAAATGTATTATTCATGATCAATCAATTTACTAACAAAAATACGATTTTCACTCTGCCAAAAAAGTGTCTTTTATATAAACAGGAAGCTTTGCTTTGAGACTGAGAGCCTCTGAACAACTTTTTTAAGTTCTCAGACAGGAGAAGCAATGGTCAAGGGCTTTCATTCTGACTGGAGCAAATAAGGATTAATGTGAGTGACCGATGAGTAATCAAAGTGGCACATTTGGCACAGCGAATGAGGGGGATGGCAAAATATCTGCAGCATTTAAAGTTTAAAATATGGGAATTCTTTATTTTGCCTATGGTAAGGAAATGGGATTGTCTGAAAATGAATCATAGCCCTTTTTTGACCAAAGACAATTCACTTTGTAGATATTTTGGTTTATTGTGGCTTGTCAATATGTGTGACAATCAAATCAAGGAAGACACATATTAAAATTAAATATATTGTATTCAAATCTGAATTTTCAGCAGCCATTACTCCAGTCTTCATTCACATGATTCAGAAATCATTATTTGAAGTATGTCTTATTATTTTCAATGCTAAAAACAGATGCACTGCTTAAAATGTTTGTGGAATCCGATAACATTTTTTTTCCCCAGGATTCTTTGATCGAATTTAAAAGGGACACTAAGGGAGGATAAACTTGCCGATCACAATTTCTCTTTGATACCGACTATAAAGTCGCAACAAGGGTATAAAACACAATCGGTGAACCCGATTGGTAGCTATTTGTGTCTTGCACCCACCATTCTGTCCTAATTAATACTTAATTACTTAATAATTACTAAAAATATGAAAGTTTTTACATTGAATGTGTGGCTATAGCCCTACTGCACTTTTTGGTTTACTTGCTTGGTTCTTTTCCCGTGAATCAACTACAGTAAAATGCATATATTTCCTTTCTGGAAGTCTAATGTCGTTATACATAAGGTTTTTTGTTCTCAAGGTGAGTCGGATATGATCATCTAGAGATAAAAATGATTCAAGCAGGTGTGAGGACACGTGTTTCCTGTCATAGCCCAGATTGTGTCCATCACCGGACGTTTGGGAAACTCCTATAGGATGTATATTTACACACACACACATACAGACATGCAAAAAGACATGCAAGACATGTGATTGTGTGGCTGTTGTTATATTCCTACTTCAAATAACTTGTACAATATCAGCACAAAGAAATGTTCTAACGCTTAGTTCCTTTTTTTCAGCTTGTATACTACAATCTTACAGAACACACACAGTTTTAATCCTAAAGTCAAATTATTGTATGCTTCAGTCTACATTCCTCACTATAGATTAGGTGGTGCTTTTATTCTAAAATCTCATCCATAGGTGACGTTTTGTTCTCAGAGTCATTCTTCTGGACTTTGCAGCACCAGATAGAGAGGCCCAAATCATGCTAAAGGTTTCATGAGCTTCTGAAACACAGAGATGTGAAATGGCATTATCCCACCGCCTCTCACACCGTCCACGCAAAATGGCTTAAGCCGCAGCAATGCTTCCGTGGGCCACTGGCTAATCCCCTTTCTTGTATAAAACCAGTGGCGGGACCGCTACATCGCTGGGCAGTGTGATAGTGCACTAGTGTGACAAGCCATTAAAGTGCCGCTCTGTCTGTGTTTTTATTTACATTCTTGTCTTTCAGATCCACTGCAGAGCTTTTATTCTTGCCAGCGATCACTCCAGGAAAGTACTCTGATCTGACACCCACAGGCTGCTGTTCTGCCGATGCTCTTTTGCATCAGACATAATGAGATGGGTAGGGCGGCATGCTTTGATGGGGGTGGGCATGCTAAGGTTGCGTCACATGTGCCATATCTATTGAATGTAAATTCAGTAAGAGGGTTACTTATGTTTGTATTCTATTTCTTACAAAGTTAGTTGCAGGGCAGTCATGTTCAAAAGGTATTGAGTCCTGTGTTAGAATCTACTAATGCCCCCCGGTGGCTTCAAGGATATACTGCAATATTTAAAAGTGTACATGGTTCTCATTAAAGTGGTTAAACTTGAAGCAAACCTGTTCAAACATTTGATTTTTTTTTTCATACTTCTGGTTCAACAGTTTATACAGTATATTCCTTGTGCAAAATGTTAATTCTCAATGCAAACTGACCCACCTGGCCTTGATTGAAATGTGGTCTTGTTTTAGAGGTGCAGGAGTAACGCTGGAAACTCAAGCTGTTTGACGGCCTCCAGATCCTTCAGCGCCTGGAGTGGGACTGAATTTCATCTCAGTCAAGGCGAAGAAAAGTGGCACCACTATACAGATCAGAAAAAAAGTTTGTCAAATGAAAAAAAAATAAATAAATAAAGAAAAGTAATCCACACATAAAAAGGTGATTTGTCCAAAACTCAATTTCTAACAATTTTTTTTTTCAATTGCAGAGCACTGAGAGCATTTATTTACTTCATTACTATTTTATTTAGTTAATTTAGCAATCTGCTGATGTACTAAACTGAAAAAAAAAAAACACTTCTTAATGGTTTTAATGTAATGCATGTGCGTCGGCAGACTGAAGAAAAAGACAAATGAAGTTCCAATAGAAGGTTTAATATAAGAATCCAAACATCCATACATCCAAACGCGACTGGACAAACTCAAAAGAATTCACACACATGAACTTAAATACTAACGGTAACGAGATGAACACAGCTAAACCAATCTAAACCTGACAAATGATGTGTTGGATTTACTTAAAATATATATGCGCCATTTTTGCATCATACTTTTTAAGTAACCCCAACTTGGAATAATTTTATTTAAAATTAACAAGAAAACCTTTGTTATATGTACTTAAATATTTGAGTTCATGCAACATTCTTTACTTAAAAATAGATGTAATGTGATGCATTTATTTTTTAAGGGATACTCCAATTCTTTTTTTTTTTTTTTTGGAAATAGGCTCATTTTACAACTCCCTCAGAGTTAAACAGTTGAGTTCTACAGTTTCCGAATCCATTCAGCCAATTTTCTGATATTTAAAAGAATATCAGTAACCAGACAGTTTCTGGTCTCATTGAGATTCTCTCCTCTACAAGCCGCTGCTGCATACGGATCTGCATGACGCGCCTATTCTCTCACAACTCTATTACGTCCCGGGGAAAGGGGGAGTGAGTGTTGACAGGTATGATCGGGACACGTCGCTCTCCAGACACCTAATGATAGTCTCCCTCATGTCCAATCCGGTGGTGTCTGGGAGGTCAATTGGGTGTTGGAAAGTTGCCTTGATCCAGAACAACGTCTTCAGGGTCTCGTCGTCAAGTGGGCTGGAGACGACCAGACAACAAAAGTCCTTGAACCAGCCTTGTGCAAAAAGTAGTTTTGGTCTACATAGCTAATTTTACCCATTTAAATTGTTAAGCCTTAAAGTTCTGCATAATCAAGGGCTTGGCCACTTGCGGAACAGGTGGATTGCCTCTGCTGTCACTGCTAGCTGTTTGTCTGCTGTTTGTTAGCTGTCACATCACCTCAGCTAATCCCGCCTTTTTGCCTATTTCCTTTATCTGAGAGTGACGCGCTACCAAGGCGGCGGCGGCGAAAAATGCTCTTCAGAAACCTACTGTACGGGTGACGTCACAGACACCACTTCTATATTTATTTTTACAGTCTATGGTTACCTAGCCTAACTTCGTCATACTCATATTCTATTGAGAATATGAGTCTGAAACCGCTCCGTTAGGCTTTGATTATGAGGCGTATCTTAACCGAACCAGGAAAAAAAACCAAAACAAAAAAACCTCTGCACTCAATTGGATAGTCGGTAAACCTACAACCAATCAGAGCAACGCAGTAAGTCAACTCCTTTGCATAGCGCAGTTTTCAACTACAGAACTTACTTATTTTAGAAGTTAAATAACTGTCACAGTTCGTCGTCTTCACCTGTTTGTCCCGTCATCTGCACTACACTTCCCCGGATCCTTTTGTTCCTCTCCCGGACTCACTCCCCAATCAGCCACCTGTTCCTCGTCCTGTCATTATCATTTTCACCTGTGTTCACCTCATTAGTCCTGATTCCTCTGTGTATTTAGTTCTCCCTCCTTCAGTCTGTCTTTGTCGGTCAATGTTAATGTTACCCTGTGTTCTGCCTGCCTGTATCCAGTTTATGTATGATTAAACCGTTGTATTGGGGCTTTTTGGACTCTGCCTGTTCTTCTGCCTGCACCCACCCCGTGACAATAACGAGTGTTGCTTCTTTACTTACTTCTCCATGAGCGCGACCAAATGAGAAACCACAACGACCACAGGCTTTTCATTACGTCCCATCTTCTTAGCGACTGTCAGAGCCAGCTGATAAGTTACATTTTTCCCGAATCATGTAGGAAGGACGCCAAAAATATCTTTCCGATCGACAAATGCCTTGATTGCAGTTCTCTGTTTGTCTATTCAAATTAATGTGCTGTCGAATTATTTTACAATAGACGCGACAGCGGAATCTATACATCTCAATTCTCCAGCTGCAGTCATCTCTGAGGGAAACCAGTTAAGCGCTCTTTGACAACGTGATGATTACGTCCTTGCAGATCATCTGTCCATCATTGTTTAAAGACCGCCCTGGCAATTTGATTGGCCCGTCATAATTTCTCCTCAATGGATCGAGTCCAGACCGAACTTCCCGACCAAGAAATGTTGTGGGCGGAGTTCGGGCTGGCATCCAGGCTAATGGTTACCCAATCAGCGGTGTTGAGAATTTACAAATGGTGGTCTGATAAACCAAACCAGTCACACACAATTTGAATGATGGTTATGGGAGTAATGTCCATGATGAATGTCTTTAATGTTAGCTGTCACTGTCGAACGCGTCTACAATGGGGAAGCAAGGGTCGGAAGTGGACTTTGGAACAGTGGGAGAAGGTCACCTGGTCCGATGAGTCCCATTTTCTTTTACATCATGTTTACCGTGTGCCGGAAGTGATGGCACTAGGATGCACACTGTGGATGACAAAAAGCCTGGGAGTGCGATGCTCTGGGCAACGTTCTGCCGGGAAACCCTGGATCAAACCAATCATGTGGATGTAAATTTGTTAATTGCATGAAACACAGTGCAATAAGTAAATTGCAACACAATCAGGCTGTGGTGCTGAAAAGTCGGTCATCATTTACTCACACAAATGTTGTTTGCAACCTGCCATGACTTGCTTCTTCTGAACACAAAATATTGTTTTGAAGAATTATAAACAGTTTTGGTTAGCATTGATATCCAGTAACTGTTTTGTTTCCAACATTTTTCAAAATGTCATCTTTTGTATACCACAAAAAAAAAAAATATATATATATATATATATATGTATATACTGTATATATATATATATATATATATATATATACAGGGGTTGGACAATGAAACTGAAACACTGGCCAATGTTGGAGGTTTCACATCTATATGCCTGGCGGCCAATCTTCAGAGTGAAGCACACGTGGATCAGTGATGGTTTGAGCTCCAATATCATGACAATCCTGATTGTATTTGATGGACACGACACTGCCGAGGACTACCAAACCCTTCTGGAGGATCATGAGCACCTGATGCTCAAACCGTGTATCAGCATGATCATGCACCAACACACACAGCAAGACTTGTGACAGAAGGGTTTGATGAAGATGAAAGTGACGTTGAACATCTCTCATGGTCTACACAGTCACCAGATCTGAATATTATTGAGGTGTTTTGGAGGAGCGAGTCCACCAGCATCATATATTGACCTGGACACTGTTCTGGAAGAGGAACGGCTCATAATCCCTCTGGTCACTGTGAAGGACTTCTATCTGTCAATTGGTGCTGTATTTGGATGCAAAATGAGGCCCTCACCATTCTAACAAATTATTGTGTTGTAAAACCAGGTGTTTCAGTTTCATTGTCCAACCCCTGTATATATATATATATATATATATATATATATATATATATATAAAGTTTGGAATGACAAGAGAGTAAGTAAATGATGACAGAATTAAAATTTTGAGTGAACTAACTATTTAATCTGTGGAAATGAAACATAAGGGTAAGTTGAACAAAACACATGAAACAGTCTAAAAATATCCATAATTGAAACAGATACAATATTTTCAGTTCACTAAAGTGCAGGAGGAGGGAGATTGAGTATCCTGTTCCCATGTGTCTCCATGCAATGTGGCTTCCTTTTACCCCTGAAAGCCAGAACCCTCAACAAACGGTGTCAGAGTAATCAGCAGTGACTTGAAATATGTGGCGTCATTGAAATGTGGATTCTGTGACTAATGTTTTTATAATCCTCCTTTGAGCAGTGGCCTATCTCAAGAAGGCATTGGAAGTATTCAGTTTGTTTTCCCTTTTGGTCAAAATCTGCCTTTATTAGCATAATTTAGGTGAGCTTTCTATGTATGAGGCCTAGGAGAAAATTAATAATAGTCAAGTTGTATTACCATCTCTGTGTAACACTAAAGACTGTGTGCTCACTAAAAGCAGGGCCAATTTGATTCAGATGGCAGATATGACTGTTTCTGTATCACTGGCCCACAGATGCCTATATTTCACCACTTTGTCACTATTTGTCCAGTGCCTACACATTCATTTAGTGGTAAAAGAAGTGATGCGGCGCACAGAACATCTGTATATTTTTAGAGGTCTTCTGCTTCTGCTTTATTTTACAGTCTATTGGGGTTTCACATGCAAACACATAAAAACACAATATATGGACATTCCTTTTGGCCCCTACACTGTCTGAACACTGTACACCTTGTGTCTTGCATATCAATGCAGTCTGCAGTAAAAATGTAGATGTGCTGTACAATAAAGACGCTTCTCACTTTCATTTATACATGCAGTAAGAACCTTCTTTCAAAGCACACTGTTAAAACTGAAGCCCCCTTCTATAAACGTTCAATGTTACAGTCCATTTTGCAGTCTCACCCCCCAAAAAATCCCTGTAAATCTAAACCTTTTGTCGTGGCAGCAGCAAACTCCTGTCGTTCCCAGAATTCTCTTTGACAGCGCGTCGTGCTATACGAGACAGCCGGGCAGACATATAGAAATCTAAAGACTTCTTCCTGTGCACCGCTTGTCTGGTTAAATGGTGAAGAAAGACATGTAACCATGGTGAGATGATAGTAAAGCTCCATAAAATGATAGGGGGAAACTGGAAAAGGCTTTAGTTTCTAGGCCAGTAATAGATGTAAAGAATATTTGGGTACAATAGGGTCGGACACAGATCAGTCCTCAGCAGAAAGCTGAACAGGTGGTCACTGAAAACACAGACAGAGAATGTGAAATCATTC